CCGAGCCTCCCCGAGCCCCGCCCCAGGTGACTTTCCTCAAGCCCCGCCCCCTAGGCACCTCTCGGCCCGCGCTCGCCCAAACCAGGCTGGGTGCCCTGTCCCCTGCGGCCTCTCCCGCACTGTCATCTCTACATGGTGGTGTTGGGTCTGCTCAGCGTCTGCCTCACACTGTGAGCACTGGAACAATGTCTCATCACTTTTGTAACAGCACCTGGCACAGTGCCCGTCACTCAGTAAGGACTTGGTAAATAGTTGCTGAAGGGATATATGAATGGCAGCCTTCTCTCTTTCTATTTCAAAGTCTTTGGAGTTTTACAATGTATCGTTTTTGATATGAAGTTTGCGCATTTAGATGGGCTTCAGTGTGTTTGGAGCATCTGAAGGAACAGTGATCTAGAGGAGTTAAAAGGCTTCTGATGGCCGAAGGAAATTCTTATGGAGGGCCTTTCCCTGTCGCTCCAAGAGCAAGCAGTACATTATAAAAAATGTTTTCAAGGATGATTAATACAATCACTGAAAACTTTGTTCAAAGAATTATAGCATAGAACCACACTTATGAGCGATCCAACACAATAAGGTGTAGCATTGTTATGGATACATGTGTCACCCTAGGGAATCAGACCTTTAGGAGTGTAACTCCAGATAGACTGACTTCTGTTGCAACATTTCTTCTGTGAGTATTTTATATAAAAATCTATTTGTTTGGAGGGAAATGTTCTCTCCTAAATTAAAAAATATATATATATATATTGATATTTAGAGAGGAAGGGAGAGGAAGAAAGAGAAACATTGATGTGACAAGGGAACATCAATCCGGTCAATCTACTGCCTCCTGCATGCCTCCTACTCAGATGGAGCCCCCAAGCCAGGCATGTGCCCAGACCAGGAATCAAAGGAGCAGCCTTTTGGTGCACAGGCCACACTGGCCAGGGCTTCTCATAAAACTTAATTAAAGGTCAAATGATAACATTTGCCAAATAAAAAACTATAATTTTTAAATGGACAATAACAGTATACCATTTCAGCAAAACTGAACAATACAAATCTTTTCATATATTCATTCACTGGCAGGTCATTACTTTTTCACTTTTTACAGTTGGCCTCCTAGGTATTATGTGAGCATGTTTTAAAAGAAAAATGCTCTTGATGATAATGTGCTAATGGTTTCTACTTTCATGTGCAAATAGAAGAAGGTGGTGGTTTGTAATAGGTCATCTCTTGCCTCCCCAGGGAAAAGACCATGTATATTTCTGTACATGCAGCATCCTTCTAATTATGTTTGCATGATGAAGATTTATTATTCTCACTGTTGTTTCAATATTTTTTATTTATAATAGATACAGAATTTTAAATAAAATATGAACCATAAAATGGAGGAGTAAAGATTGATATACCAACCATCACCGTCAACAGTTTAGATTTGATTATAACCATTAAAAACACAAATGATACGCATCATAAAACAGCATTCAGCTGAATGTGCAGTTGGTGTGTTGCACTTTAACTGACACTTAAAATATCAAATCTGTCACAGAGCAACCAAAACCTGTAGTGGCATCTTTAAAAATGAAGGGTAATCAGTGTATTGATTTCAACAAAGCTTTATCAGAGATAACTGCTATTTTTAATTTACCATTATGAATTGAATACAAAATAAAATTCAAATTAAGAGGGGGAATCACGGTATAAAGACATTGGATTAAGTGGGAAACGTGTTTCTAATATGGACTCTGTCATTTAAGACCTTTGCAGTTTTAAACAAATCACCTAATTTTTCTGGTCCTCGGTTTCCATATCTATTACAATGGAAGTTTTTATTTTAATGATCCCTGTGGCATTTTTATAGCAGAAGTGTACGAATTCAAAGGATGTACAGTTTAAGACTCTTACAAGCAAAACAACCAAATGGACAGTATCTTAGTAAGGAATGAAAAATGCATGCTATTAGGGAAAGCTAATTTACAGGAATTTAAAAAAGACAATGGTTTCAGTTTTCACAACTGTGAAGAATTTTAATCAGGATGATACTGATTGTTATCCAGTTGCTTTCTATGTGGAATTAAATTTATTTCAGCAACAATCAATTTGGTGTCTACTATCTGGGAGGTGCTGGGAGGTGATTATAGATGAATGAACATTGTTTCAAAGACAGTTTGGTGGGTACAGATAAGTGCAAAAACAAGCTAGGATGATATAAATGTTATAAAAGGAACAAAAACAAAGTACAGAGTGGGGTAGGGAATGTCAAATGAAGGAGAGGCTATAAAAAGGACCAAGGACAATCTCATAAAAGCAAATCTGAACACAATACAGTTGACCCTTGAACTGCACTGGTCCATTTATATACAGATTTTTTTTCCAACATATATGCAGTACTATAAATGTATTTTCCTTATGATTTTCTTAATATTTCCTTTTCTCTAGCTTACTTTATTGTAAGAAGACAGTATATAATACATATAAACATCAAAATATGTGTTAATTGGCTGTTTATGTTATCGGTAAAGCTTCTGGTCAACAGTAGGCTATTGGTAGTTAAGTTTTGGGGAAGTTAAAACTTATACACAGGTTTTCAACTTCCTGGGGTGGGGAGTGAGGGATGGGGGCGCCTCTAACCCCCCCTCACACACACATGTTGTTCAAGAGTCAACTGAATAGTCGGGTATTATTCCACATTTGAAAATTCCAGTTTCCCTCAGATTGGCCACCCATTCCCCACAGCACCTCTTACACATTTTTCACCACTCCTCTCAAGTCTCAATCACACAGTCACTCCTGCTGAGCCCTTCACCCCGAATCCAGCAAGAGATCTTAGCACACAGTCTTTATAGGAAATAACGTCCTCAGCTTCTTTCCCTATACCTGCCAAGTCTGTCTGTAACTGTTTATATCCACACACACTTGTTTGCCTCCATCCCACAGGAAGAACTAATGCTCTTCTCTCTAAGGCTTAGCTTTCTACTTGTGCTGTAAATCTGTTTCTTCTAAACTTTGGGATTTACGGACCATTAACATTTCTGACAGTTGGGGAACTGACATAGGGCTACTAGCTTTTTAACTTTGACAAATAATAGTATACATTTTACAGCCCTCCCTTCTATTATCACCATGATTTCCTAAAGGAAATGCATTTGCAACACCAAAAACTAAATTTTATGAACTACTCTGTTTATTTGCATTTCCCTGTGGAACAGTGAGGCTGTCACAGCCCTGGTACATTTGGGATTCTGCTTGATACAGATCCCCTCCATCCCCTCAGGGCCTGCTCCGTGGGTTATGCTGTTTTCAATATTTTCAATCTGTTCTTTACTGGAGATTAATTTATCTCTCTTCTCGCCAAATCTAAAAATAGTTTACAGTTTAAGACTGCTTCCTCATTTCACTTTCTATTCACTTTTTTAAAAGGTAATAAGCATTCATTTACCTATTCAACGCAGAAATATATAAAGTATATTCAAATGTACAGAAAGAAAAATACAGTTTCCAGCTCCCCGTCCCAATCCTAGATAAAACCCATTTTAAAAGATCGATGTTTCTCTCCATACTTTTTCCAATAGTTATAGAAGCACATGTAAATAGAGGTT